CCATTATTTTCTGGCATACCTAGAAAAATATAAGGATCATGTATGCAAAATTTCATTATTTTTTTACGTCGTTTTAATTTTATTATATTTTTTAAAGATGAAAAATAAAGAAATCATCGAAAATAGAATATTCATTAAAAAAAATAGTGCGCCTTCTTTCATTAATTCCTAAAAATCATATATTAATTTTAGAATGTAAAATATAAATAAAAATGATTTTTTATCCATTCCGGCCCCCGAGCTTGCCCCTGGGCACCGCACTACGCAGGCTGGGGGCTTTTTTTTACAGTGTTTTACTTTTTTTGTCTTTTCTCGAGGCCATTTCTTTCTAGCATGCCTAGAAAAATGTAATGATCGTGTCTGTAAAATTTTATTATTTTTTCACGTCATTTTTATTTTCATATATTTTTTAAAGATGAAAAATAAAGAAAATCATAAAAATAGTATATTCATAAAAAAATGGTGTCGCTTGTTGCATTAATTCCTAAAAATCACATATTAATTTTAGTCTGCAAAACATAAATAAAAATTTAAATTTGTGACATTTCCCGACCCATGAGCTTGCCCCTGGGCGCCCCACTATGCGGACCAGTGGCTTTCTGACAGTGTTTTACCTTTTTTTGTCATTTATTGAGGCTATTCTTTCTAGCATAACTAGAATAATGTGAGAATCGTGTCTGCAAAATTTCATTATTTTTTGTCATCGTCTTTGTTTTATTATATTTTTTAAAGACGAAATGTAAAGAAAATCATAAAAGATAGTACATTTATCAAAAAATGGCGCCGCTTGTTACATCGATTCCTAAAAATCATATATTAATTTTAGAATGCAAAATAAAAATAAAATTGTAAATTTGTGACCCATCTCGGCCCCTGAACTGGCCCATGGGCGCCTCACTACGCGGGCCAAGGGCTCTTTAATAGCGTTTTTCTTTTTTTCTCACTTTTATAGGCCATTTTTTTCTAGCATACCTATAATAATGTAAGGATTGTGTATGCAAAATTTTATCATTTTTTGACGTTATTTTTATTTTATTATATTTTTTCAAGACCAAAAATAAAGAAAATCACTAAAAATAGAACATTAATCGAAAAATGGTGCTACTTATTGCGTTAATTCTAAAAAATTATATATTAATTTTAGAATGCAAAATATAAAAAAATAAAAATTTTTGACCCATTTCGGCCCCTAAGCTAGCACCTAGGTGCCCCACTACGCAGGCCGGGCGCTTTTTGATAGTTTTCTTTTGAGGCTATTTTCTTCTGGCATGCCTAGAAAAATGTAAGGATCGTGTATGCAAGATTTCATTATTTTTTGACATCCTTTTTATTTTATTATATTTTTTAAAGATGAAAAATAAAGAAAGTCATACAAAATATAATATTCGTCAAAAAATGGTGCCGCTTGTTGAATTAATTTCTAAAAATCATTTATTAATTTTAAAATGTAAAACATAAATAAAACAATAAAAATTTGCCCCATCCCGGCCGCTGAGCTGGCCCTTGGGTGCCCCATTACGTGGGCCGGGAGCTTTTTTCCAGCGTTTTACTTTTTTTGTCATTTTTTGAGTCGATTTTTTATCTTGCATGCAAAGAAAAATGTAAGGATCATGTCTGTAAAATTTCAATATTTTTTTACGTTATTTTTATTTTATTATATTTTTTCAATACGAAAAATAAAAAAAAACCATAAAAAATAGAATATTCATAAAAAAAATAGTGCGACTTGTTGTATTAATTGCTAAAAATCATATCTTAATTCTAGAATACAAAATATAAATAAAAATGTAAATTTTTTACCCATCCCGGCCCCTGAGCTGGCCCTTGAGCGCCCCACTACGCAGGTCAGGGGCTTTTTGACAGCGTTGTACTTTTTTTGTCAGTTTTATTGGCCATTTCTTGTGGCATGCATAGAAGAATGTAAGGATCATTTTTGTAAAATTTCATTATTTTTTGACATCGTTTTTATTTTATTATATTTTTTAAAGATGAAAAATATAAAAAATCATAAAAAATAGAATGTCATCGCTTGTTGCATTAATTCCTAAAAATCATATATTAATTTTATAATGAAAAACATAATTACAAATGTATAATTTTGACCCATCCTGGTCCCTGAGCTAGCCCTTGGGCGCCCCACTACGGGGACTGGGGCGTTTTAACAGTGTTTTACTTTTTTTTGCCATTTTTTAGGCCATTTTTTTCTACCACCCCTAGAAAAATTTAACGATCATGTCTGCAAAATTTCATTATTTTTTTGACGTCGTTTTTATTTTTTGATATTTTTTAAATGCAAAAAATAAAAAAAAAATCATAAAAAATAGAATATTCATCAAAAAATGATCCCGCTTGTTGCATTAATTCCTAGAAATCATATATTAATTTTAGAATGCAAAACATAAATAAAAATGTAAATTTTTGACCCATCCCAGCCTTGAGCCGGCCCCTGGGCGCCTCACTACGCAGACCGATGGCTTTTTGGTAGCGTTTTACTCTTTTCTCATTTTTTGAGGCTATTTTTTATGGCATGCCTAGAAAAATCTAAGGATCGTGTCTGACAAATTTCATTATTTTTTGACGTCGTTTTTATTTTATTATACTTTTTAAAGACAAAAAATGAAGAAAATCATAAAAAGTAGAATTTTCATCAAAAAATGGTGCCACTTATTGCATTAATTCCTAAAAATCATCTACCAATTTTAGAATGCAATATATAATTAAAAATGTAAATTTTTTACCCATCCCGGTCCCTAAGCTGGCCCTAGGGTGCCCCACAACACTGGCCAGGTGCTTTTTGATAGCGTTTTACTTTTTTTCTCATTTTTTGTGGCAATTTTTCTCTGCCATGCCTAGAAAAATGTAAGGATCATGTTTGAGAAATTTCATTATTTTTTGACGTCGTTTTTATTTTATTATATTTTCTAAAGGTGAAAAATAAAGAAAATCATAAAAGATAGAATATTCTTCAAAAAATGGTGCCGCTTGTTGCATTAATTCCTAAAAATTATATATTAATTTTAGAATGCAAAATATAAATGAAAATTGAGCTGGCCCCAGGGTGGCCTACTACGCGGGTCGGGGGCTTTTTAACAACGTTTTACTTTTTTCTCATTTTTTCAGGCAATTCTTTTTCTAGCATGCCTAGAGAAATGTGAGGACCATGTATGCAAAATTTCATTATTTTTTCACGTTATTTTTATGTTATTATATTTTTTTAAAGATGAAAAATAAAGAAAATCATAAAAAATAGAATATTCATCAAAAATTGGTGCCGCTTGTTGCATTAATTCCTAAAAATCATATAGAAATCTTAGAATGCAAAACATAAATAAAAATATAAATTTTTGACCCATCTCGGCCCCTGAGCTGGCCCTTGGGCGCCCCACTACGTAGGCCGGGGGCTTTTTGACAGCGTTTTACTTTTTTTTGTCATTTTTTGAGCCCATTTTTTTTTGGCATGCCTAAAAAAATGTAAAGATCCTGTCTGAAAAATTTCATTATTTTTTGACGTCATTTTTATTTTATTATATTTTTTAAATACAAAAAATAAAGAAAACCATAAAAAATAGAATATTCGTCAGAAAATGGTGTTGCTTGTTGCATTAATTCTTAAAAATCGTATATTAATTTTAGAATGAAAAACATAAGTAAAAATATAAATTTTTTACCCATCCCGGCCCCTAAGCTCGCCCATGGGTGCCCCAATACGCCGGCCGGGGGCTTTTTGATAGCGTTTTACTTTTTTTGTTTTTTTTAGGCTATTTTTTTTCTGGCATGCTTAGAAAAATGTAAGGATCATGACAGCAAAATTTCATTATTTTTTTACGTTAATTTTATTTTATTATATTTTTAAAGTCAAAAAAATAAAGAAAACCATAAAAAATAGAATCTTCATCAAAAAATGGTGCCGCTTGTTGTATTAATTCCTACAAATCATATATTAAGTTTAGAATGTAAAACCTAGATAAAAATATAACTTTTTGGCCCATCTCGACTCTTGACCTAACCCCTGGGTGCCACTACGCGGGCCGGGGGCTTTTTGACAGCGTTTTATTTTTTTTTGTCCTTTTTAGGCCATTTTTATCTAGCTTGCCTAGAAAAATGTAAGGATCCCGTCTGCAAAATTTCTTTTTCTTTTGACGTCGTTTTTATTTTATTATATTTTTTAAAGATGAAAAATAAAGAAAATCATGAAAAAAAGAATAATTATCAAACAATGGTGCCACTTATTGTATTAATTCCTAAAAATCATATATTAATTTTCAAAGCAAAATATAAATAAAAAGTATAAATTTTTGACCCATCCCGGCCCCCCTGAACTAGCCCTGGGCGCTACACTACACACATTGAGGGCTTTTTGACAGTGTTTTACCTTTTTGTCATTTTTTTAGACCATTTTTTTCTGGCATGCCTAGAAAAATGAAACGATTGTGTCTACAAGATTTCATTCATTTTAGCCGTCATTTTTATTTTATTATATTTTCTAAATACAAAATATAAAGAAAATTATAAAAAAATAGAATATTCATCCAAAAGTGGTGCCGCTTATTGCAGTAATTTCTAAAAATCATATATTAATTGTAGAATGCAAAACATAAATAAAAATGAAAATTTTTGACCCATCCCGGCCCCAGAACTGGCCCGTGAGTGACCCACTGCGCGGGCCAGGGGCTTTTTTGTGACAACCCTCCTACAACATCTCCTTCATAGCCTTATTTTCATACTATTAATTCTAAGGACGCGCCACAATCACTAACCTTCACCTGTGTCTTACATAAAAACTATGGTGTTTCAAAATTTTTGCTAAAATAAAATTTCGTTAATACACCTTTCCTATCAAGTTTTCTAGCCACAATTAAAATTATACAGTCATCCAAGGTTTATGTGTTTAACTCCAAAATATATATGTTTACAAATCCAAAACAATCTGTGTTCAGCTTCTTTGGTCCAACCATATGTACAGCGGTCAACAAAGCCAGCTCCCCTGCCTACTGTTCTGTTTTGTTCTTACCTTTTCCTACAACACAGAGCAAACTTTAATGAGTTTTAACCTCAGTAAGAGAGCTACAATTACACAATTTTACTTTAACATACATATGCATCACAGCATCTTAGGTAACTTATGACAATCAATTCCTACACTTTATGCACGTGTACTACATATCACTAGGGCCCTCCCGGTACTGCCGCCAGCTTTTCACAATCTGGCACATGCCAATATCTCAAATCACAATATCAGGTTCCCCGTCATCACCCACCTGGTTCAAGGGAACGGCCAACGCATTCAAAGTCACAATTTCTCAATATCACAATATAGTCTCTCTCATCACCCACTTGGTTCGAGAGACTTGCGCGGCTCAATCACAATTTCATCAATCACCATATCACAATAGAAGTCCTTTGAGGACTTGGTAGTACCGGCCTAACATGCATGCTATTATGTGCTTAATCACAAGTAATCTAATATTCCACGTGATGCTCTACTTTGTACACAATATATTAACATAAGCATGCCTTCACAACCATACACATTGATAATGTCATAAAAATTCACACAACGGCATACTAGACATTCCATAGAAAGTCTATCAAACAAAGTTTGTAAGTGCTGTAGAGAAGTCAAACTCTACTTACCTGAGTTGCTTAGCAAAATCTGAGTTTAACCCTATTCGTTTCCCTTGTTCGTTTTCCTTTCCACTGTTCAAAATAAAAAAAATTGGCCACCGTTATTAGAGCTCAATAGCTCAGCCATAAATCAATTTCTAATTCATAATCACATTCCCCTAAAACTGGAATTTCACTGATTCGTCCATCTTTAGAAGAAAATTCATAAGATATTCTTTTTATCTTTAAAAATTCCAAAATTAACTTCAAAACAAAGTAGACATGTATATCTTTCCAAATAACTATCATATGTCTCAATCCAACATCTCTAAGTACCTTAAAAACAGTTTCCACGAAATCACAATTCTGTTTTTTTT